GCACTTATTAATCGAAGTCAGGGAACCATTAATAAATATACAAATTATTGCGCACTTTTAAAGATATTTGTTTCGTACGAACATCATGAAACATTAATAATTTCTAAAAGAAATCTTATTCATGATTAAAATGCACAGAAATTCAGCATACCTTTCTTTGCAAAATTTGACGTAAATTGTTTTTTAACTTGATAATTTTTTAAAGGAAAAATTAAAGACATTTATTCCAGTAAGAGTATCTTTCTGATCAGACGGACTTGAGGGGGGGGGGGAGAATTTAGCATAGCATTAGATGCGCTAAATTGCTACAAAAAATTATCTACAGTAAAGATTTACCTTCTATCATTAAAGTTTGAAACACTGAAATACCTAGTGCATAAGCTCGCGGATAAAAAAAAGAAAACACAACTCGTTTGAGAAATAGAGAATATTCAATGCTTTGTAGCTGAATATGAAATTTATATCACGAGTGGGACATACATGTATGCAGTATTTTTTTTTTGTTGTTGTTGAAATTTTGAAGAGTGCAAAGCATGAGTGAAAATATCGAAAAATCTAAGCTGTCTCACGAGTAAAATAAATTCCATATTCAACTATAAAATATTGAATTTTCTGTTTACTACATTTTCTTTGATTTTCCATTTGCCTCTTTCTTTTCGTAACATAGTATCACAGGTCGTGACGTCATAATTGAGCGATGGAGACATATTGATTGCGAGATTGTGAGATTGAAAACATAGTTAAATATGGATTTCAACAACATATTGGAGAAACTTCGTCAGTTTTAATCTCTATTAGGATGGTTTATTTACTTTCTTTACCTTATATTAGGCCTGGGAGTATTTTTATACCCCCGCTTGAAAAGAGTATAGTGATGGGGTGTCTCCGTCCGTCAGTACGTCCGTCCGACACACTTTTGGGTATCCATCTCTTATCCGCAACTCCTCTTTTACCACTGAATAAATTTAATGAGACTTTCAAAGAATCCTTGTTACAAAGTGCTATTGTGATCTCCTATTTTACTTTTTGATCGGATATATATTTCAGGTTTCCCATAGCAAAACATAGACACTGTCATTCTTTTGTATAATATTGGGGGTACCCATCTCTTATCCCCAACTCCTACTACACCTTTGAATAAAATTTAACGATACTTTCACAGAATCTTTATAATATAGTACTTTTGTGCACCTTCTATTTTCCTTTTTGATATTTAGGGTTTCTCATAGCAAAACATGGACACTGCCATTCTTTCTATAATATCAGGGGTGCCCTTTTCTCCTATGCTATTGATTAAAATTTACTGATACTTTAACCGGATCTTTATTACATAGTGCCATTGTGCACCTTCTACATTAGGTTTGATCGGACAGATATTTGGGCTTTTCCATTCGTTATAATGCAATGTGAAAAGGCGTTAATAAAGAATAATAACTATTACATGTATATGAAAGTGGGACAAAAACCATCTGATTTCAAGCAATATTTTAAGATCTTTTCTTCAAGTACCTCTATTAGGCAGCTGTTTGCTGAACATAATAAGAAGTTAACCCTCCACCAAAATTGCAAAGTCATGATCTCTGCGTCTTGTATTCAGGACTTGCTCCCAGTATAACGGGCTCCAGTAAATGTCCTACCAAGCCTCTTTCTTTACTCCTCACTAAAATATTTACAGCAGTGAAGGAGAAACTTTAGGAGTACTAGTACTGTACAACAGTATATTCGCGAAGTGGTGTAAATCAGATGTGGATACTTGAAAACTCAAAGGAACTTTTAGAAAATTTGAAATCACAAAATTTTAACAAAATCAATAACATCAAAACGTACGATTTTTTCAACACTTTATACAATTCCCCACGATAAATTAAAGGCCAAGGTTTTTGACATCATAAACAGCTGTTTTTTCACTAAAAATGGAACTCCTAAATTTACTTACCTTGCCATTGGTCATTTGCAAAATTATTTTGTTAAAAACATTCTGATTGTACATACAAATACTCTTAAGTTGATATTAAAAAGATGCTTGAGTTTCTGATAAACAATATCTATGTAGTTTCTGGAGATCAGGTCTTCCAATAATCTGTTGGAATTCCCCTAAGTACCCATTGCGCCCCCTTATTAGCAGACTTATTTTTGTAGTCATATGAAGCAGAATTTATTCAAAATCTTAAGCATGAGAAGAAGAAAACACTTGCTGTGGCCTTTAACTCGACATTTAGATTTATCGAAGACGTTTTATCAAGTAACAATAGTTACTTCCATTCATATGTCGACTCGATAAATCTAAGCGAGCTTGAAATAAAAGATACCACAGAATCTGACACATTCGTTTCATATCTGGATATTTTACAAGAAAAAGAATTTAATGGTAACAAAGCTTTATGAAAAACGTGATGACTTCAATTTTTTCAATTGCCAACTTCCTTACTTATGTAGCAATATACCCTTATCACCTGCTTATGGAGTTTTTGTCTCCCAGTTGATTCGATACACAAGAGCACAATTTATAAAACGAGGCAAGCTATTGACAAACAAGTTGATGAAACAAGGATATCAACAATCTCGTTTGAAGTCATCATTTCGCAAGTTTTTTGGTCGATTCAATGACCTTGTCAGCAAATACAAGCTATCATTAAGTCAAATGCCGACTGACGCTTTTCATACTACATGTAATTGTTAGGCCATTGTTTACACATTGAATTTGTCGACGGATTTTTCCGTTTTTCCCGATCATGACAATGAGCACACCGCTGGTGTGACCGGTCGGCAGGGGATGCTGACACCTCCATGCATATGGCACCTGATTCCACCTCTAATGTTTTTGGAGGTCTGTGTTTGCTCTGCTCCCGATTTGTATCGTTTAAATGGACATGAGCTTGAATACTGTTCATCATCTCCATATTTCATGGAGTTTGCATTGAAAATTTATTACACATTAAATGATGTTTTAAAAATCTCTTTCTAGTCACCAAGCAGGCAAAACTGTTTGCATGACTATAATGAGCAGTGAAACTTCCACTAAATGGTTAAATCCATGTCCCTTTCGTCCAGGGTACCGACATAAGAGTAGGTCATCTATATTTGACCTTTGAAAAACCTATCTTCCTGGATATGTATAGCTGCAAACTGTTTACATTATTTTAACTAGCTATTTCTCTGGTAAATATTTAAAGATCATGCCCCATTAAACCAGGGTTCAGGCCAAAAGGTGGGGCTAAGTTAGTCATAAACTGAAAATACACCTGTCCTTTGAAAATCATCTTCACTCAATGCATATTATAAAGCCTTTTGATTTGCGCTATAACGCATTTTGATTTACTTTATAACTCTTTTTTAACTTCGCATTATTACGCCTTTTTTGAAGTGCGTAGAAAAATTTTGATGTAGTTTATCGCTTTAAGAAATTTAATACAGAAGTAGCTTTCGCGGATTATGTACTGATACTGCCATCGGATATTGTACGTACTTGCTTGCTCCCTGTCTTTTGGAGGTGTTTTCATTGTCTTAGGTAATGATGAAGCCTTGCTTCTGATAAATTATGACAGTCATGTGTCAAGTAATAAAACAGGCACGGAAATCAAAATACATAAAACCATTAGAGTTAACAGAATTGTTAGCGAATAATGTTTTAGTTGTTTATAGGGATGAACTCAAAAGTACTCAAACTCTCGCCAAAATCGAATCATTCGGAAAGTAAATTAAGTTAAAATGTCTTTCCATCGTTCAAATCTAATACGCAGTCAGACACAAAGTGTTGATTCTCTGGATATACTTCTACTATAAGCTATCCCGAGTAAAATACGTAATTCCCGAAGGAATTAAAAGGAAATTGATTTCTCACTAAACGACGAAAATCAATTATGTTTCCTAATTTTCTTGTTTGGATAATTTTTGTCTACTTAATATAAACTGTGACTTAAGGTTCAAATACTTTTTATATGGAGACTCCCCTAAAATGAACGTTGCTGATAGCAAAATCGAGCAAAACAAGGCTACCTCTCAAGTTAAACACCTAAAGCTTCGTCTTAAAATTTTTGAAAAGAGCTATTTTTGCAAATGTATTGTGGAAAGAGGTGCAATGCACTTGAATAATTAATATTGTTAAACAGCAAAGTTAATAAAGGTCAAGAACTTCGAAAGATATCGTCATTTGCTCTATTCTTAGCAACATTTTTGACCGACTTTCACTTGTAAATTGTTACACACAATTTTAGATTGCTGCATCACATGCATTAATATATACATGCATATTAACACTATTTTCTGTCTTATACATACATATATTGTATGATTGTTTGGTATCTTATGAGCTTTGAGCTTACACTAAATTGCACAATAATAGTGAAGTTCCATTTGACTGAGTAATCAGTTATCTTAATATTGTCAAAGTATGCAAAGTAAGCATCGAACTCCACGAAAAAGCTCACTGTAAATACCATTAATTTAATTTTCTTCGCCCAACGTGCGCTAGCGCAATCCTGCATAGGAACACACACACGCACGGTTATGTCCAATACCAGCTTTCCATGGAAGTATTGTACAGTCCGAGCGAAGAGCGCCTCCTCGTCAAGTCGGATTTAACACAGTGGAAACTTTACAATTTCATTCAGTGTCTGGCAGCGCGGGAAACTATCTACAGCTGGTCGTCTGCTCCTCACTGCAAGGTGTGCTTTGATCGGGGATATAGGATCAATCTGTCATATGGTTTTCATGCTTCGATTACAAAATTCTTCACTGGAATTTTTGAGGAAATCTTACAAATAGATATCAATTTTAAATACCCTTTATATTGCATAAATAAATTCCAATTATATTTCGCGAAATTAAACTTCTTTCAAACAAGCTACATAAGAACTTAACGGGAAAAAATCTCAAAGAAACTCTATATTGTTGGACCAAGTGAGGAATTGTTTTTTCTGTTATTTCATTCTTTATGAGCACATGAGGAGAGATATTATATTATAACCGACAACTAAATAACAGGAATATACAAGTGAACTCATTGGTGAAAAAATTAATTTTTAATTGGAATATACAATGTGAACTGATTAATTAACCATTAATTTTAAAAAGTGGATGAACACATAAAACGCGAATATTATCAAGTAAAACTCTTACAGAAAGAGTAACTAAAAATCATGCAATTGAGACGAAATGTTTAAATGTATTCAGACGGCGTAGCTTAATCATGCCACGTCGAAAAAGAGACAGGATCCACCGTTGGATTTACATCGTTGATGCAGTGGTACCTGGTATTTTCTTTTATGCAGCTTTAACAAGTGGTAAGTAAACATCTGCCCGTTTCAACTGATTTTATGTCCTTGTGTATCCAACAAGAATTTTAACCCATCGACAAACCACTTGTTCCCACTGACGCTCAGACAGACTTCAAAGACACTAATTCAATGATATGGCCATTTTTGCGGTGATTCATTCCTTTGTTTTAAGGATAGACAGGTTTTGATGTAGTGAAGGAAATTTGTATGGATGCAAAAATCACTAAACTATCAAGTTATCAAGGATGAGGGAAGAGGGTCGTACTACCACACTTTTTCATCACTTGAATGTTTTTTTTTTTTTGTTTTTTTTTTTCAAACGTGTTAAATATATTCGAGACCGTTCTAACGAAAAAGATTCAAGATGGTTTGTTATTATTCAGTACATATTTCGCTTACTTGAAGTTCATGTTTACCTCTATTGATTTTTCCCTCTTTTTTAAAAACAAAATTGAACTTCAGAATGTGAAAAAGATTTTTAGCATCATAAAGACGCATTATTGGTTCTTTCAAAATGATAAACAGAGGGTTTTTACTAATGCCATATAGTTGTTCATTAAACATAGCCATGACCGTGAAAATCACTGTTGCAATTGAGATACAGGACAATTAGAGAGCCTTGAATATAAATGCAATAATGATGCATGTTGTAACGCAGTACGAGCCCAATAGCATGCATGCAAGGATTTCTTTTTTTATCAATGAATATTTTAGTGTCGTAAAAAACGAGATTTAGATACATGTACACTTAAAATTTAACATAAATGGTACCTTGGCAAAAATCTCGGAAAGAGAAACCGAAAGCCATGTGTATTGTTTCGAATTGATGTTGCCTGAGAAGCGTAGAAATTCTTAACTCTGTAAAAAAAAAAAAAAAAAAAAAAAAAAAAAAAAAAAAAAACATTCTTTAATTAGAGTTGATTAATACACTTTTTACACCACCTCTAATGATTAATTTATTTAATTATTTAGTGTCCTACTCTAATTTCAGTGCAATTTTATATGCTATATTAATTGTTATACGAGGGTTGTCCAAAAAGTTCGTGGACAATGGCGTTTTTGTCAAAATGAATGGTTCAAGATTACTTATTGTATACCAAAATATTAGTTATGCAAATCCAAGTCAGAATAGTTTGGTTTTTATTGTTTAACTTAATATTTTTGTAAAAATCACGGTCATTAAAGGTCACTGATAGTGAGCACGGACCAGGGTTAAAATGCCATAAACTTTTAAATAAAGTGTTCTGATTAAAATGATTATTTTCTTTATAAAACAAGTCAAAGCTTAATAAAAATTAAATGTGTCACAAATAAAGCGGCTGTCGTCATTTTCTGATATGTTTAGTATCGCTTACTAAATAGACAGTGAGAATATTAAGCGAAAACCACAAAAAGTATGTTTCAAACATTTACCGAAAAAGCAACGTCAGCCATCCAAACGGGACAGTGTCCAATCATACAATTATGTTTAAATATGGTTGAAACGAAATCAGACACAAGATATTTATTCAAACGACTTGAAATTATTGGAATATATTTAGTTCATTGATTTGTAATTGGGGTATACGATTTTTCAACGGTGTGTTAAATTTCGGAGACACTGTAAGAAGTGGAAAATCACTGTTATTTGATGAAAAATAGGATATCCCTATTCATTACGTTGTTATAAATCTAGCGCCATCGGACTGGGCTATGCAGCCTGTGTATACGAAGTGTTCATATTGATGACGCTCTTAAATTATTGTGTATTATTTTGAATTTTAAAAAGTAAATCAATTATGGTCTATACATAAATAATATTGCACACACTTGGCAGTTTGGCATAATACAGAAAATTAACGTGTGTCCTTGAACATGTGATAAAAATTCAAAATCCATATTCTTGGCGTTATCGTGAAATTAGGGTTACATCAGACTGGGCCATGCGGCTTGCATATACAAAGTATTTACACCTATAATGCTCATAAAACAGTGTGTATTGTTTTAATTTTTTATATAATTACTAAGTCATGGACTATTTTAAAATATTATTGCACACGTTTGCCTTTGTGGACTTTATTAAGAAAATTAAGCATTTGTCCACGAACTTTTTGGACAACCCTCCTATTTGATGCTTGTTAGAGGTTTTACATTATTATAGTTCTAGGTGTGGACAAATCAATTCCAGCAATATTTCATTAAAGCAAATATAGCGTATTATCAAATGATTTTTTTTCCCAAGAAGATCTATTATTAAGGAGTCCCTGATAGAATTTTTTGGATCCTGCTTGAGACTTTTATTGCACGATAAGGGTTTCTTCTTATGAAACAACGAGGCTTCATTCTACGACTGTCTCTTTTATTGATAAGCGTTTTTTTTTTTAAATATTGAATAGATGTCACCATATACATTTCCTAGTCATAAATTCATTAATCATGGAATATTTACATACATGTTCAGGCAGAGACACGACTTTGGTAGGGACACATCTATTGAACCAGCTTTCTTTACTCTGGATCTCAAGAACGCAAGATAAATACAAACCGGGAAAGGGTCAAAAAGAAAATCGAATTACTAACTGTTGTGAAAGCGTGACTGCGTATTCATATCATATGTTGATAAGAAATAAATCGCAATTCGCTTCTTTGGAAAGCTTTGCGAATGTGGTTTCTCTATTAGAATTGTGTTCATTCTTCCGGTTTTATGAAATGCCTCCTGAGCGATTGTTCTTTTATTTCCGAATGTCAAGTTATCTTATTTCTGCATAAAAAATCAAATACAAAATGAGAAAAACGAGAAAACCAGAAAAAGAAACTCGGAACTAAATGATATAACTTGCGGTACAATCTTTCAGGAGAGAGCTTGAATTGCTATGTTTATTTGCCGGTATTGGACGACGTATTTTCAGCAAAGTGTGCTTATATATAATTTCTTATCATTAACGTGCATCTTTATTTCCACGAATTACATGTACTTGTACCACAAATGTACATTTAAAAAAATCTGAAATTATATGCTGCTGATTTTCAGTGTAACGCTTAGGTTTACTTCAACATTAAGAAAAAAGGAAAGAAAATACATGCGGATTATTATACAACATAATATGGAGCATGAATTGCAAGACAAGCAGTATCTACATCACACACATTTTATCCACTCGACTTTCATGCTTAGGAATATCAGGAGCAATCTTTAATTTCCGAGCAGCCATATGAAGTCGATTTCTATAGAAGCCACTCGGTCGTTGGTTCTTAATGCTATTGCATGGAGACGTGGTTTTCCCCCCTGACATTCCAATGCTACTTTGTGACTACTATTAAGTTGTCCCTTGTATCTGTGGGTGTATAATTTTGTGAACCACAGTTATTTTCATTGACAGGTATTCATTAAATCTGCCTTTAATATTGTGTTTCGTCTTCTGCACAGAGATATGCTCTTTTTGCAATTTATGATTCATCAGAACCAAAATTGCAAAATACTAAATACTTGTAATAAGTGTGATGAAAACAAGTTCTAAAATGTTTTCCATAAAACGTGTAAAATACAAGTCATATTAGTGAAAATTCCTTATGTTTTCATCTGTAAACATAATTTTTCATCATTATTATTATAATATTGTATATTCATTAAGATATTGAACAGTGATCAATTCAGAGGTAAATGTATTACTCCAAGCACTGAATTTTTAATTTCTTTGAAGTAATCAAGAAAGTTAGAAAGAAAAACACAAAGGTTAGCATCCATTGGGTGTTTGTAATCGTACATCCTATACGAATACAACGCACTGTCTATATAAAGAATTTGGTTATCTGCAAACGAATCATAATTACATGTAGGTGACTTTCAATATATATTATATATATATATATATATATATATATATATATATATATATATATATATATAAGCAACAAAGACGAATCTTTAGCTTATCCATAAAACCTTCTATTCTAAATTACTGATTAATACATGTATGACTTTCGAAGATTCTTCTCATGTTTGAATTTGACACTTGTATAGAACGAAACATATGCATGGTGTCTGATAACCACAGCATGCATCAAATGCTTTCTTGATTTGAAGTAACAGCACTTTACTAATGAGCGAGAAATATTAAAATATATTAAAAACCAAAAGACAAGAACGCTTATCTTTCAGTCAGACTTCTTAGGTATGAAAAGTTAAAGAGAGAAAAGTTCATTTGTGCGATATTTTTTATGTGATTTTCGGATGATAAAAAAGTGTCTTAATTTATTATGTCTGGAATATATTTCAGTAACTTGTATTTTGGCTCTTGGAACCTAAATGTTATTTATTGAGATGACCGGTTTATCCGAGATATATTTAAGATCTTGGCAAGATTATAACAAAGTCTTGGGTCTGCTTATTTTACCTTGTAAGATTATGTACTACAGAGGTTACTGAAGCATTGTAACATTTTTATCATGTTTTATGAACTGTCACAACCTCTAGAATCTAGCTAAATTGAAGATCAGAAATTGATGTGTCCCTGGATACAGACACGATAGTTTTACATTACCCCATACTGTTAAGCTGTGTTACAAATCGTATATTGTACACAGAAAAATAGATATATAACACAGTAATATCACAAAGAAGCCATAAAACATGACCGAAATAAACAATGCTCTACTTTTTTCCTTCTTACAATCGATACTTATTCAATTACAGAAAAAGAAAAAAATCTCCCGTCTATACATGTAAATTTGGCCATCTTAATAAGTAATGTTACCTCGTTTTCCCCTGGAGGATGGTCTCTCTAACCATGTCGGGATCGTTATCATCAAACTTTCTTCCCGCCATTGATTACGTATCAGTGTCCTTTGGGGACTTTTTTCAGGATATTTTTATGAATCTTTTCTTCTAAGACAGACTCCTATTTAGCCATCGATGGACGATTAGTATAAGACCTTGCTTATAAATGTCAATTATTCTTGTCTATTGTATCCATAACTGTGAAGTAATACTCTAAATCTTAGCTTTATATTCAATTAAGAAACCAAAG